TCCCACTATTTAAATTTCTTTAAACTACAGTTGACTATTTAAATAAAATTAACAACATAGTGTGAGGTTTAGAACATATAATAGAAGTAAAATATGTGACAGTACAAAGTCCAGGAGGAGAGGAAATGGAGCATGTTGCTGTAACCTTGTTAAAGACTAAATATTATACATAAACATATATGCATACATTAAACATATACACAGATACTCTTTTCCTTTTCTTGAGGTTCTGCAGATCAAATTTATGGTTTCAGGCATGCTAGGAAAGCTGTACACTTAGCAATTCCCCCACCACCATAAATGTGTTCTTTAAGTATAAATACACAAATATGCTAAAAGTAAAGGGATGGAAAAAGACATGAATGATCAAAAGAAAGCCAAAATAGCTGTATTAACATAAGATAACATAGATTTCAAGGCATGTTACTACTGATAATGAACTCATTTCATCATGATAAAGAGATAATTCATCAAGAGGACATAGTAATACTAACTGCTTATGTGCCTAATAACAGGGCTTTACAATATATGGTTAAAAACCAATTGAGCTATAAGAAAAAATACACAAATCCATAACTCGAGTTGGAGATTTCAATATCCTTCTCTTGGCAATTGACAGAACAAGTAGACAGATAATCAATAAGGATATAGAACACTTTAAATAACACTATCAACCAATTTGATATATATTTACAACACAGCACTCTACCCAACAACATCAGAATGCATGTTCTTTTCAAGTATGTAGAGAACAATTGCTCAGGTATGTCATAGTCTAGCCCATAAAACAAGATTCAATACAGTAAAAAGATTTAAGATGTATGAAATATATTCAGAACACAATGGATTTAAACTAGAAATCTGTAACTGATAAGATATCTGAAAAATTATAACTATATTGAAATTAAACAGCACATTTTAAAATAACCCCTGGATCTAAGAACAAATCAGAAGAGAAATAAGATCATAATTTTGTGTCAGGCACTGGTGGCTCATGCCTATACTCCTAGCGACTCAGGAGGCAAAGATCAGGAGGATTGTGGTTCATATCAAACCTATACTGAGATTCCGTATTACCCCATCAGAATGTCAACCACCAAGAAAACAAACAGCAGCAAATGCTGGCAAGTACTGTTAGTAGGAATGTAAATTAGTGCAGCTCCTGTGGAAATCAGTATGGAAGATCCTCAAAAAACTAAAAATAGAACTGCCATATGATTCCGCTATAGCACTCCTGGGCACATGTCCAAAGGAATGGAGGTCAGCATACAAAAGAGACACTTTCACACCCAAGTTTTACAGCAGCACTATTCACAACAGCCATACTGGAATCAGCATAGGCAACAGCAACTGATGAACAGATAAAGAAAATGTGGCATATATACACAATGGAGCATTATTCAGCCATAAAGAATGAAATTATATTGTCTGCAGGAAAATGGATGTAACTGAAAACCATAATATTAAGTGAATAAGCCAGACTAAGAAGACAAATATTTCATGGTCTTGCTCATTAATGCAGTCAAGACTTTTCAAATGATGTATAAAAATAGGAGAATGAAATCAGATAAAATTGTTTATAAAAGAAGGGGAGGAAAAGGAGAAAGAGTAATAGAAGGGGTAACATCACAATGAAACACTTTTGTACAATTTATATATTCTAATAAAAGAGAGGGGAACAAGAAAACAAGGAAAGCTTGTTCTTTGAGAAAAGAAATCATATTTATGAATCGCTTCTCAGGCTGATAATATGAAAAAGAAGACACAAATGACCAATGTCAGGAATGGAAGAGGAGATATTAGTACAGACTCCACGGATATCAAGATAATCAGGAACAATCATGAACAGTGTTATGCAAATGAACTCAATAACTTAGATGAATGGACAAACACTTCCAAAGACAAAAACCACCACTGTTTACTCCAGAAAAAAAAAGAAAATCTGACTAACCCTGTATCTATTAAAGTAATTGAACTTGCATTAAAAAATCTTCCCATAGAGAAAATTCAATGCTCAGATGGCTTTCCCAGTGGTTCTACCAAAAGGAAAAAACACCAGTTCTACACAATTCTTCTAGAAAATAGAAAAAGAGAAATAGTTCCTGTGACTCATTCTAGGAGGCCTGCATTACTCTGATATCAAAAACAAAAGCACAATCCATAAAAAGGTAAAATTGACAAGTGAGACTTCATCAAGCTAAAAATGTTTGCTTTTGGAAAGACACTTAAGGAGATGAAAAGAGAAGCAGGTTATTGGAAGAAAATTTGTGCAATAACTATCTCATAATGGATTTGTATCCAGAAAATACAAAGAATCCACAAACTTAACAATAAGCCAATTTTTCAAATGGGCCAAATATGTGAACAGGCACCTCACAGAGGCAGATACATTAACAGCAAAATAAAGATGTTTGATATTACTACTCACTAGGGAGACACACACTAAAACCGTGATGAGATGTATTACACATCTACTAGAATGGCTAACACTGAGCCGGATGCCATGGCTCATGCCTGTAATCCTTACTACTCAACAGGCAGAGATTAGGAGGCTTGCTGTCAGAAGCAAGCTGGGCAAATAGTTCTTGGAACTCTATCTTGAAAAAAACCAATCACAAAAAGGGCTGGCAGAGTGGCTCAAGGAGTAGAGTACCTGACTAGATAGCTTGAGGCCCTGAGTTCAAACCCTACTACTACAAAAAAAGAAAGAAAAAAGAAAAGAATGGCTAACAACAACAAAAAACAACTGACCAGTGGGCTGTGGTGGCTCAGCACCTGTTATCCAAGCTACTCAGCAGGCAGATATCAGAGGATCGAGACCAGCACAGGCAAACAGTTAGCGAGACCCCATCTTACCCAGCAAGAAACTGTGCATAGTGGTACATGCCTATCATCCCAGCTAAGCAGGAAGCATAAATAGGAGGGTCACAGTCAAGGCCAGTCCAAGAGATAAAAGCGAGATCCTATTCGAAAAATAAGTAAATCAAAAAGAGCTGTAGGTGTGGCATAGGTCCTGAGTTCAAACCCCAGTAACATCAAAAATAACACCACAAATCTGACCAAACCAGGACTGGCAAGCAAATGGAGTAAGTGGATCTCTCATACACTGCATTTGGGAATGTAAAATGGTGTAAGTACTTTGGAAAAACAGTTTGGTAATTTAAAAAAAGTTAAACAGAAACCTAGCACTGCACTCCTAGGTATATACCCAAGAAAAATGAAAGTGTTTATCCACACACAGCCTGGTACACCAATGCTCACAGCAGTCTTCTTTCCAAGAGCCCAGACTGGAAACAACCCAACCCAAACATCCATCAACATGTCCGTGAGTGCACGCACACAACGGAATGCACGCTGCAGCATAGCGGAGTCTCAAAATAGCTGTGTTGAGCAAAGGAAGTCAGACAAAAAGGAGTACATACTTGAGGATTCCATTAACGTAAAATTCTAGAAAATATTAAGCAAAGTGGGCAGCACATCAGTGGTTGTCTGGGAGCAGGGTGGGTGTGAGAAGGGCTGTATGCATGCATGTGTATTAAAACTGAAATGTGAATAGAGTGAGAAGATTCCTGCAAAATACATACCAGTTTAAAGTTATTCTTAATATCAGACAGGAGGACACATACATATACCCACAACAAAAAAAAAAAAAAGGAAATTAAAAAAGAAATAGCTGTCACTCATGAAACAAAATAAATGCAACTTCACTAGTAATTAACAAAGTAAAAATCAAAATAATAAGGCACTTATTTTGCCCACCAATTTGGCAAGATAATAGAAAAAGACATATTTTTTTGACAAGAGCATTAGGAAATAGTCCTGTGTGTACATTGCTGGAGGCGTAGGACAGGTGCTCGCGTTGAGCCAGGAATGCCTGTTGGGAGCAGTTCCATTTTTGTTTGGGCAAAGAGGGTGGATATATGCAGGTGGCAGGGGAGGGCAGTGATCCTGGAGACAGGAAAGGTGGCTTCTTTACCCTACAAGTTGGGATTTCTTCACAGCTTGTGTTTTATCTTAAGTAGGTACTGGGAATTTAGGTAATTTTTCTATTTCCTTCTTTATGTTTATCTATATTTTAAGAACTTCTTTTGAAAATTCTGTTACTTCTGTAATTGAAGGAAAAGTGATGTGAAACGGCTAGGGTTGGATCTTTTTTTCTTTTCATGGTACTAGAGTTTGAACTCTGGGCCTTATTCTTGCTAGGCAGATGCTCTACCACTTGAGCCCTTTTTTTGTGTTGGGTATTTTCTGGGACTAGCCTCAAACTGATCTTCCTGATCTCTGCCTCCTGAATAGCTAGGATTACTAGTGAGCCACCAGTGTCCGACTAGGGTTGGATCTTGAATGTCCCTCAAAGCCCATGTGTGAAGTCTTAGTATCAGGGTGTCTCTATTGTGGGGCATGGGGCTGGGCATCCTTCAGGGGATTTGGGCCTTGGCTCCCTTCCTCACTCTCTTTTGTTCCCTGGTGTTGACAGCGCAGTGTTGCTGCACCATGCACTCTGGCCAGGTCTAAAGCAATGGTGCCAATCCATCATGGATCAAAACCTCCAAAGACAGTGTGACAAAATAACCCTTTTCTCTATATACGTTTATTATCTCAGGCATTTCATTATGTTGACAGAAAGCTGAGCAACATGGAAACCATTCATGTAATTCCAAATTATAAAGTATTACAATACTTTATATTTTTTTACTATTATAATTATAAAGTATTACAATAAGTATTTCTGGAATGTAGTTTGATAATAGAAATCAAGGAACTTTAAGCCATTTCTTCTATCCAAATGACTATATTGTAAGCTATGATTGAGCATATGAAAATCTATAATAATGTGAGACAAATATTTACATAAAATATTTTAACTCAGTTTTATTTATTTTATAATTTTACTTTTTCAATTTTCTTACAAAGATAGTAAAAGTCATTATACAAAACCAGAAAATATAATTTGTTCCTAGTTCTTAGGAGAAAGCTAAGTCACAGATGTACGTGCATACCTTTCTGTGTGTGGCACAAAAAACACTGTGTTGCTTGGGTTCATTTTAGCAGCAGTCTTCTCTTTGCTCCTTTATAACTTCAGTTTTCTGTACCTATGGGGGAAAGGGGTAAGATATGTAATTATAGGAACAACATTAAAGAAACAATAATTAAGGCAAGGTATGGTGGTATATTTCTGTAATCCCAGCTACTTAGAAGGAGAAGTAGGAGGATCCTGGTCCAAGGTCTGCTGGCAAAAGTGTCTAGAGCTTACCTGAAAAACAAATTAAAAGCAAAAGGTGGTCTTGTGAAGAGTTAAAATTCCTTCAACAACTGTTTCTCACAATTGGAAATCAAGAATGTATTCAATTCTATTTTGTGTTCTCAATTATCTTGCAGTATGTTCTGAAGCTCTGTGCATATTACTTATCTATATTTTAGGGGCTTTCTTTGAATAAATTCCAGGAAGTAGAATTACTGGGTCAAAGAATACTGGAATAAGTTTTGGAACTTTGACTAACTTTGGAGATGAAGGTCTCAGAGGAAAAAAAAAAAATCAAACAATGAGGAAAAAGGTATTGACCTCCACTTTTACTCCCACCCACAATCCAAATCTCCTGTGTACCTACATTTGTAAACTGTGCCACCCTCTCCCCCAACCCCCTCATTCTTTTTAAGACCAATGTCTCAACATGTAGCTCAGCTGGCCTGAAACTCTTCATCTTCCTCCCTCAGCTTCTGGAGCACTGGATTACAGGCGTGAACCACCATCCTGGTTTAAACTACACCTTTGGTTATTTTTCGTTTTCCTTCTTGATTCTGTTTGTGGCTGTGGAATGCTTTAGACTACCTGGTAGCTGAAACATAATGGCAACCAACAAGATGTTTTACCTAACTGCTAATATCGACCAATAACTTCAGTGTCTACATGCTATTCAAATCTGACTATAGCTTCAATAAACTAAAATACTCCTTATGACCTCATATTAACACAACTTGCTGAATTTGTAAGAAGATGGTTTCAAACAAGGAAATTGTTAGCATCCTCATTCCCTGAGGAATCTCAAGTGTAGGAGATGTTCACTCCTAGGCAACAATTTTCTCACATGGTGGACAGGCATGCTTACTATTTGTCTTCAATCTAATATCTCTTTATTTTACATAACTATCTTTAAAAAGCATGCTTTTGTGCTGGGGATTTAGCTCAGTGGTAGAATACATGCCTAACACGCTCAAGGCCCTGGGTTCCATCCCCAGTATGGCAAAAAAAAGAGAGAGAGAGAGAAAAAAAAAAAGAAAAGCATACTGTACATCTTTATAAATGTTCTAACATGAACTCTCTAAGAATTTCAGGAAAATCCCGTTTCCTCACCCTCCTTCCTTCTTCACACATGCCTCTGGCTTCTCTGTAGCTGTGATGCCTAAATGAAGGCAGCCCTCCGTGGCTCTGCCAAGTCCTCTGTGACCCAAAGCTGCTGTCTTAATTGTGTCCTTCCTGATTTCCAAAAAAGCCATGTCGCTAGACGGTCTACCCTAAAGGGTCACACGCTGCTTATGTTCATGTTGACTCCTGCCTTCCCCTTGTTCCTGGCATTCTACGAATCCCCAGTTCTGCTTCAAATATTTCTTCTTGGGTGCTGTTCACTTTCCTTTTCTGTGGCACTCATTTTCTCTCTCCTCTACATCTGCTCTTCCAGCCTCTGTCCTATCTTTTCTGGAACTCATCTTCAAGAGGCTCTTACCACCATCATCCCTGCAAAGCACATCTCTGCTCCTCCCAGGACAGGGCTGAGCACCTTCACGGCCTAGCGTTCCAAGCCAGCTCCCAGCCCTAAGTCCTCTCACTGGACTAAAACTCAGTACTTGGGGAACACGTTCACACCTACTTTGCCCTTCATTTCACGTTTTGTCTTTGCTTGTCAAGTTTTCTCTGCCTATTGTGTCCAAACCCCAACCACTGTCATGGTCCAGCTATCTATCACTTTTTCTATGAAACCTCTCATTTTCTCCCTTTGCTCCAGTTTTAAATAGGATAGTATTCTTGGGTGTCAAGTGCTTCTTCAGAGCAGGGTACAATTCAAGTCCATGTTGTCACTGATCCTTATATCCTCAAGTTTTTTTGAAACTGGTTTATTGAAATGTAATTCATACATAATCCACACATTTAAAGCGAACAACTCCATGGTTTTTAGTGCATTCACAACCATTATCACAGTTATTTTTCTCACCTCAAAAAGAAACCTTCTTTTTGACCCTCCTACCCGTCCATTCCTAAGCAAACACAGAATGCTTTCTGTCTTTCTGGATGTCCCTGTTCCAGACATTTCATGAGAAGAGAATCATACAGTGTGTGCTCTTTTTGTAGTGTCATGTCTTCAAGGTTTATCTGCTGTGTAGCACGACGCAGTAGTTCAGCACTGGTCATTGCAAATACTATTCCACACTACATTCTGCTCCCCATTTATCACCTGATGTACATTGGAGCCCTTGCCACCTTTCTGCTATTATGAATAACGCTACTGCAATCATTCGTGCACAAGTATTTGTGTGAGTGTATGTTTTCATTTCTCTTGAGTATGTACCTGAGTGCAATTGCCCAACCCTATGGCATCTTAATATAGCACATAATCTAAAAACAAAACAAAACAAAAACAAACAAACAAACAAACAAAAAAACAGGGAAATGTCTTCTTTTCAATTCCAACTTTAGAACTGAAAATGATAATCCAAGTTCATCCTCTCCCAAAACATGACAAGAACATTTTCCTTGTAAGAGAGTAACATCTTAAGAATTAACTGAAATGGTATGCATAAAATAATTTTCTCCCCTCTTCTTTGACCTCTTGCAACCTCAAGTATTACATTTATAGTGATGACTTAGAACTGTGCCAAGAATGTAGTTTTTCAGGTCTTGGGCCCTTGGGCCAACTCAACAATCCAGATAGCTTAGAGTAGATTTCATCAGAAGCACAACTGACATAATCCTCATTCTTTATTCTCAGAAGTGGAAACCTTCCAACAACGGTAACCAAATAAATTATTTCTTCACAGACATTATAACTTAAGAAAGAACACTTGATAGAGAATATAAATATACCTATTTTTCATAATTTCCCTTTTGCCAGAAACTTTGAGAAAGATGATTCATGGAAGTTCTTAGTTGCCTTTCAATGTTCTAATCACACCACTTCAACAATAAACCAGGAGCTTACTCGTTTAAGTGCACTATTTCATCATTAAAAAAAGGAAGAAGAATTACTGTTTCATTTGGAAAAGAATTTTAAGATCAGCTGTTTCAACACCCTTTTTTTCCCCCCTATTTCCTTTTCCTTTCTTCCTTCCTTCCCTCCTTCCATTCCTTCTTTCCTTCCTTCCCTATGGAGCAGTGTTCCCTCAAATTAAAACCCAGGACTGCTGATTCCCTAGTCTAGAAGAATTTCCCCTGAAATTCTATGCCACCTAAGTCAGACTTCAACCCATCAAAAATTGTTATGTTTTGTAGGATAATCAAGAAAATTTTAATTTAATGTAAGATTGGATTTGTGTCATTTTTTTCTCTCAAGGATCACAGGATTTAAATATATAGTAGATTAAGTTCTTATGAGGACTGGAAGCAACACTAGGTTTAGAGGGCTGGGGATAGAGCTCAGTGGGAGAGTACTTGCCTAGCATGAGTGAAATGCCCTGGGTTTCATCCCAGTATCACAAAAAGGGTGCGGGAGAGATAGGGCCTTTGAAGGGGTTGGTGAAAATAAGGGTCCTGTAAATACTGTAAATAATATTATTTTGGATCTTTCCAAGATGGCGGCTAGAGGGAGGAAGCAGAAAGCATGTCTCCTAAAGTGAAATCTTGGAGAGACGCTGGAAACACACCTTGCAGGCAAGGCCACCGAGAAGAGGCAAAACTTTGACCCCTCCACACCTCCAGCCTGTGCACAGCATCTCACTTCAGGTTGAACGGAGAAACCAGGAGGGGTGCCGGGCCGCTGCCAGTCACTGGTGCCCAAATGGTTTGGGAAGATGCGGACAAGGTGAGCTAAGTGGTACGGCATAGCCCCCTGGACAGACCGACCCCCACCTGGGGAAAAAAGAGGAACTGAGTAATAAGCAATAAGAACAATAAAGACATGTAGCAAAGAGGGTGGGGCGCCCTGAGCGCCGAAGAGGCGGGGAGGGGAATCTTTCCACGAACTGTAAATAAACAAGCTGGGCCTGGCCGGAGGGGGCAGGAGTGGGGGGAGCCACCCAGCAACCAGGAGCGGAAAAGCTGTGAGAATGGCGAGAATGGCGGAGGGAGGAAAGCTCCACAGGAGAGGGGGAAGACCCACTTCTCACGTGAGCTATAAATAAACACACAGGCCTGAGAAATAGGGTGCAGTGTCACCTCCCCCAGTGTGCTTGGAAAGGGGAAAGCTTGTAGAGTGGCATTGTGCACAGAACTCTGAGTAAACAAAGCCTGCTGGGCCAGGTGAGTGCTAAGCTCACTGCAGAGATCTGCATAAATAATGCCCCCAGCTACAGCAGGCTGACAGCAGCAGACAGGCAAGCCACAGCCACAGATAGCCATTCACAGAACTGGCTCCAGACTCTTTTTTTTTCTCTCTCCCTACCTTTGATGAGAAAACAACCCATGCTGAAAAACGTACTGAAACGGTATTGCATTTGAACTTGGGACATGTTGTGGGGGTTTTTTTGTTGTTTTTTTTTTTTTGTTCTTATGTTACCCCTTTGATGAGACAATTACAGGACAACATCTGAGGCACTGTTGGAGGCTGAGGGACGAACACTAAAATTATTAAGACTGAAACTTCATTGCATTTGAGCTTGGAGGTTTTTTTTTTAACTTTATTTATTTTTTATTTTATATATATATAAAAAATATATATTTTATATATATATACTTTTTTCTTACTTCCATTCTATCTTTATTCTTTTTACTTTTTATTTTCAATCCTCTCTGTCTCTCTAATGCCTTTTCAGCTTACTGTTGATTAGTACACTGTCTCTCCCTGTTTATATCTTTGAAACTTTTTTGTTTCTTTGTTTTTTTTTTCTACTTAATTATTTGTTTTCCCTTTTCCTTTAACTTCTTTGCTTTCCATCCCCTCTCACC